CAAGTTTCCAGAAGGCAGAACACTGGCTGTGAATCCACCCTTCTCTTTTGGCAAAAAGGCAAACACCCCAAGTGACTAAAGCATGGAGCCAAAGTCAGATCAAAACACCTGGCGGGGCTCTAGGCTCTCGAAGAAAAAGTCAAGAGACCTGGACACTACATTCTGCTGTTGTTCCATTCAAGGGTCTTGAATTTAGGAAGTTTTTTTTTTTTTTTTTTTTTTTTTTTTTTTTTTTTTTTTTTTTTTTTTTTTTTCTGAGAGGTAGAGAAACAGAGAGGGAGAAGGGCTTCCACCCATTTTTTACTACCCAAATATTTACAACAACCTAGCCTGGGCCAGGTCAAAACCAGGAGACAAGAAGTCAATCCAGGTCTCCTACAAGGATGTCAGCCCTCTCAAAAGGCAATAGAGACTCAGGTACAAATTACAGAATATGGCAAAATTTGGCCAAGAAAGGGTGGAACCAGGGGCCAGTGTTGTGGTACAGCAGGTTAAGCTGCTGTCTTCAACACCAGCATCTCATATGAGCACAGGTTGGAATCCTGGCTACTCTACTTCTGATCCAGCTCTCTACTAATGCTCCTAAGAAAGCAGCAGATGATGGCTCAAGTACTTGGGCCCCTGCCACCCACGAGAGAGACCCAGAAGGAGTTCTGTGCTCCTGGTTTTTGCCTGGCCCAGTCCTGGCTGGTGCAACCATTTAAAGAGTGAACCAATGGATAGAAGATTTCTCTCTCTCCCTCTAACTCTTTGAAATAAATAAATCTTTTTTTTTTTTTTTAAGAAATGAAAAGACAGGGTGGAGCCAGCAGGCTATAAAGTGCATGAGGATAGCACATGGACACGTTAGAGATCACCCATGGGGACTGATGACAGGTGGGCCCTGCCTGAATGTTCTGCATGAGTGTTCACAGGAGGAAGGGGGCGTTCCAGGAAGGTCTGAGACTGAACTTCCCACCACACCGGGAGGATGGCTGCAACACCCTATCAAATTTAATTTAAAGTAATAAAAGAAACCTGACATTTCTTATGCTCTATCATGTGGTGTCAAATTCACATGCCTGCTATCTTTCTGGAACATTCTTGTAGATAACTGCTTTGAGAGAATGCTCCAGAGTTCAGGCAAAGCCATTCTAAAGATCACACAAATCCTTGCTGCAATTACCTCTCATTCCCACCTCCACCGAGAATTTATCCAGGGAAATACCTACCCAGGAAATACTTCTTCCATAACCTGAAATTCAAGCCATGAATGACCTCCCCTTCTTTGCCCACAAGCACTTCTCAGCAAACTGTGTGTGGCAAAGAATGTTTTATCTTACTTATATCCTAAAGGGAACATACAATAAACACATCAAGAAATAAATACAAAACTTTATGACTGGTAAACAGTATCCATGGTTAGCAGGCAAGAACTCTTGTTGAGCCACTCTACCAAGGAAGGCTCCTGAATTGGGAAATAGAGGTCTTTTTGTCCTTGTTTTACCCTGAGAAAATTGACAGCCAGAGGTGTTAACTAACTGGTTACAGATATCAAGCTATTAAGTGGCAGAGCTGGGATTAGAATGCAACTCTGCATTTTATTCTCAATTCTCAGATATTTTTAGTACCATACTTCTGTTCCTCAGTAACACACACACACACACACACATGTGTGTGTATGTATACAATGAAGTTCTCAGCAGCTGAATGTAGAACAGAAAACCGATTTTAAATGTAACCATTGCCATATTTGTTTAACTCTGGAAGGAGGAACTCTTGAGTTCCAGTAGGCAGCAGCTGAACTTAGCTGCCATGCGCCCATCGACTGATTTAATGTGATAATCAGGGGCGGGGGGCCCTGGCGACAGGCTATGATGGATTGGCTGTTGTTCTACACTTTGATGTGTCTTGGAATTTGTCAAAACTTCACTTCAGCACTCCAAAAAGCACCATGGCGTCATCCGTCCCACTCTGTCTACAAAAGTGAGTGGCAGGGGAGTGGTTGCCATTCAGTAAAGGTCAAGACCAGGTCACAAAGTGGCAGACCTTTGCTGAGGACAGCCGGCCATGAGCTTACCACCTCACACCCAGGGGACTCTTGCCTCTGGCTGATAAAAATCTGTGCTGTCTTGGAGTGGAGACTGCTGATTCCTCCCGTCCCGGCTCAGTCACGGGAAAAAGAAGTCACCTTTCACACCCTCCATCCTGGGGGCAGCAGGAAGGTGGGCAGGGGTTCATGGAATGGTGAGGGAGAGCCTGTCTAGCTCTCCGTCTCCAGCCTGTTCCTTCAAGGGTAGGGCTACCAGCAGTAGGCGGATCAGGAACCAGCCCCTGTTTCCCCTTTGGCAGCAGCGGGCAGGAAGGCGTGCTGCTGCTCAGACACCAGGGGCCAGATGAGTCACCCCCAGGGTCTTCGCCAGCTGGAGAGAGCTGCCTATTTCCCAAGGCTGGTCTGGGCAGCATAAGGATTTTAGAAGACTGCTGACACGCAGCACTAGCGATCTGTGCTTCTCAGGGCAGCTGATCTCTGAAGGATCAGAGAGATGTCAGTGGTTGGGATCGCAGAGCTAAAGGAGAAAGTGGTTTACCTAGAAAATCCCATCATGCCATGGTGCAGCTGGGTTGCCTCACATTGGCCTCTTGATGGACTCGGGCCCAACACATAGGTTCTCAGTGCTCCCTGTTGCTGTGACACTGGATAGTTCTACTCCTCTCAGTCGAGATGACCTCCTGGGAGAAACCAATACCCAAGAGCACCCAGAAAATAAACCCACGCCTTCATCTCTTCCCCTTACTGCAATGCAATTCTATAACCTAATAGATTATAAACCACAGAAATCTCTTTCTCACAGTTGTGGGGGCTGGGAAATCCAGGCTCAAGGTTCTGGCATACTCTGAGCCAGGCAGGTGGTGCCCTTTGGCTGGGGCCTCAGATGATGAGAAGGGTGACTTACCTCCCCAGGCTCTCTTTCCCAAGGGCACTGGTGTCATTCTTGCGGACTCTGTCCTTAAGACCTAATCAGCTCCCAAAGGCCCCTTCCCAATAACTGTCACATTGGCAGTTAGGACTTTAACATGTGAACTTTGTAGAGATGTTAAGCATTCGGTCCATCATACCAAGTAACCCCTCATTCTATTTTAGGCTCTCAAAATTATGGTTTCCAGACCTATAATCTGATATTTGAAACCTCTTAGCTTAGAAGGCAGTTTCAAGAACTAAGTGATCTGTGCATTAAAATGTTTAAGCACCTAATAAGTGTGTAATAAATAATTTGCTTCTTTCTTCCTTGCTCCCCACCTTTCCTGCTACATCTTCCAGATGTCCAAATTAAAACGAACCCCATTTCACAGTATCTAAAGCTTAGGAGAGATGACGTGACACTGTCAACTATGGCAAAGCCAGGGATTCAGTTCAGTCCTAGAGACAGCAGGCTGCTGCCCAGGCTGTTATTGAGGGAGGCCATGCTCCCATCTCCCAAGCTAGGGCCAGACCATTATGCTGGTGTTCCAGGCAGGGCACACAGCTGGTGGGGGTGACAGTGGTTACAACTTGGGGAAGAGACGGATTTACACTATGAGGTCTGGACCATCCAGACTTGGGTCTGCTGGACGGAAGGCCACAGCCAGAGAAGCCATCCCTTCACTTTGCATTTCAGCTTGCAGGAGAAGCTTCCTTGGCTCAGGAAGGACCAATCCTTGCTGTGAACCAACAGTTTCTGACAGAGAAGTGGCCTGAAGGGTCACTTGAGATGAACTACTGGGAAATAATTCCAGAAGAGGGCCACAGACATCGAGACAGTTTGGCTCCTTACGCTGAGAAGGTGACGTCAGCCATGCAGATAAATTCCAAAGAATCTATCACCTCTCGAACAATGTTTTACTAGCTTGCAACATGTTCCTGAGCTCTTTCCATCCTGACAGCTTCTGGGGGCTGTCCAGGGTATCCTGGAAAATTACAGCAAGAAGGTGTCTTTCCAGTTCTTCCTCACCCAGAGCCCAATTTCTTTTAGACTTCGTCTAATTTCTTTCAACTCTGTGAATCATTGTTAAATGGGAAAAACATGGTTCAGTACTAATGTTGAACGAGGTACAGAAGAGCAAGGGAAAGTAACCAAACTCCAGATTCTAATCAGAAAACATGCCAGAGATGGATAATGACATAACATTAAGTTATTATGATCTATACTCCCTGAGATCTCACTAAGTTATTTCTTAAAGCCTACGTGTGAGTATCTTTATATATCTTCAACACATCAAAACTCTGAGATTCAGAAAGAATAGACAGAATCTGCTTCCGGGTCTTCAGCAAAACAGCTGCTGCGTCAGCCCCAAAGGTGGGGCCACCTTGTTATCAGGCCTCTTCCCCATCCTTCTGCAGGAACACAGAGATGCGAGAGATCAATGCAAAGTGGGGTCAAATGAAGTGGGAGCTGCCTTCACCTATGAAGCTCCAGTGTACTTTATAGGACCCTTTGAGAGAAAAGACATTTCCATGGGACACAGAGAACCAGTCAAATCCAAGCAAACAGAGAATGCAATCTACTTGCAGAAAGAGTATTTGAAAATATGTAACATCTTCTCACTGACAGTTGAGCTGTGAGTACAGTCTTGCTATTTTCCAGACAAAGACACAGAAGCTTGGAGAAGGTACCTTGCCCAATGTCACACAGCTAATACGCAATAAAATCAGACCACCCAGCAACCCAGGTTTTCTGAATCCCAGTCCAGTGCTCTTTGCCCTACATTTCAGAAGTTCTTACACAGATGAGGTAACCAGAGTTTGTCAATGACAACAAAGGAAACACTGATCAAAAAGGATCTGAACTTGCACTTGGAGAGCTGGCTTTTAACAGAATATTCATTCAACAAGTCCCTAGGCTATGCACACAAGATGCAAATGGCAGAGTGGCCCTGAGGTTGGGATGACCCAGGAACCTGCCCTGGGCCAGCAGTGTCCTAGAATCCTTTCCCTGCACACGGGATCCCTTGGGGCTGGCATCTTTCCAAGACAGAGCCTCATGGTCACTCCAGCGTGGATCCACGCTGACCACTGGGCCCGTGTAGCCGGGAACCTCATGGAGAAGCCCTGCAGTGTTTCAGGCATCCTGCCATCCTGGAATCTGGCCCAAGGGGCACAAACCTGGGCACTGCATTCCCCCAGGCTCACTCCAGAGCCCCGGATTCCTGCCATCACATCCTGCACTCACGGAGCTGGGCCTCGGGAGGTGAGGTGAGGACAAGACAACATGCCCAGGTGTTGACTCCAGCTTAGGCTCAGCCTCAGGAGGCCAGGCCGCAGCAAAACAGCTTGTCCTGGCCAGCACTGTCATAAGCATAGATGATCACACCCCAGGCTAAAAAGGCGGAAAACCAGTAGGCAATGAAACCGTTTTGTCATCCAAGGACAATAAAGTTTATGTATTCCCAGATGTGGGTCCTCCCACTTAATCAAGGCAGAGGCCCATTCCAGTGAAAAGAGCTTTTCTCCAGCAAAATGGGAAGGCGGCTTCTTTGGGGCTAAATTTAGACTTTACCCACAGGGGCAGGGCTCCAGTGCCTCAGGGCTGCAGGCAGAACAAGCGAATGGTTCAGTGTCCCTTCTGGCTGCAGGCAGCTCCAGAGCCAAGCCAGCCAGCGGGAGTCCTAACTGTTCCTAGCACAGGAGTGTGGGCAGCACAGCCCCCTGACTGGCCTGATTGCATCTCTGGGGCGTGGGGCTTTGGTCACCCTGTTGGTGCATCAATTCCATTTCAGTGCATGCCAAGGAACAGCTGCTCTGAGGAGTGGGGTTCAGAGTCCCTGCGAAGTCCAGGTGTCAGAAGCCCACGCTGCTGCAAGGTGTCTGGAAGCTCTGCACTGAGAAGGCGATGCTTGGCTAGAGGGCCAAATTCACGTGCAGGCTGGTGCGTGTCCAAAGAGGGGAGAATCACTTCCGGACATCACATAAGGCTTCGGTGGGGAAGTCTGGAATTTTCTCCTGGGCCAAGGTCCCTCCCCCATATAAAGTCATCAATGTCTTCTCCCTAAGTCAGCTGTTTTTCGAAGTGGCCCTTGAATAATTGTAGCAGTATTTTGAGAGACAGCCCCTACCAAAGGAAGTCAAACGAGTTCCCTTCATTTCTCAGCTTAGCCAAGGAACTGAGAAGATGGAGGAAGCTGGTATTTTCCCAAAGGGAGCCTGGGCCCAAGATCTAACTTCCCAGGAAGTGTGTGACAGCACATATCCTACTGTGGTCCCCAATGCACTACTGCTTAACCTAATCCCAGCTGGCACCAGGAAGAGCTGGCATGCCTTGGGGGGGATGGCAGCTATCAGAACTGGGAGTGTCCTTCCCATCCAGCATTCCTGCAGAGCAGAACCAAGGAATCCTCCAGGAGTGACACAAGATCACATGCCTGTCCCTTGAAATGTGTCCCCTGCCATGCAGATGCAGCTCCAATGTCAGCGCTTTGGATGTTTCCTACAGCCAGAGTTAAACACCACTGGCTCTCCACTGGGCTCTCTCGGGCCTGTGCCCATAGCTCAGTGACAGCACTGCCTCCTCTCTGTAGTCACTAATGGCACAGAGCAGCCTCTCTCAGCGACAAAGGAGGAGTCCTGCTCTGTTTTATTTCAAATCTCTAATTCCTGGTATATAGTAGACCTTCTATAGACATCAGAGGAATGATACTTGAGGGAATGAATGATACTCTAATGTCTAACAGACTTCTTTAAAAATATTGGGGTCCTCCTTAATAAAAGAGACTGTATGAAACCCAGGATGATAGAGTTGCTCAAAAACAGAGGCACCCCAGGACTGCCCAGCCACCTCTCTCCACCCCATGAAGGGAGGACAGGGTTCTCTTCAGAGGGAGGAAGCCCATGTTCATGTGTGAGATCCCCAACTGGTTCTTCTTAAATGGAAAGAACGGCCCTACCTTGTGTCTCTTTCTCTCTGCTTGTCCAGAAGTGGCAGTGCTATGTTCCAGTGGTTCCCTAGCAACAAACAAAAGCAGGATCTCAAGGACCATCACTATCTGGAGCATCACCCCTTACCAACCGCCCAGCCTGCCTGTCCCTGTGCCAATCACCTGGTCATGGAGAGTCACCACAGAGAGTTCCTAGACTGTACCAGACACACTCATGAGGGCAGCTCCTTTCAAGAACTCACTCCACCAGCCCTGGCCTGAACTACTTACAGGGATGGTCTAGGAAACAGAGACTTTAGTCATCTCCTTAAGGAGGAGAATTCTCAGATTACCAAGCACAGGCAATTACCCTATCTTCTAATACTAGTGCCAAGGATGTAAATTTCCCAAAGAGAATCATGCATGTGTCATTAATCCTGAGCCAAATTTTGCTCTGCATCTCACTCAGCCAACCCAGAAGGCAGGATGAGAATGAAAATCCTATTAAGAAAAATAAACAATTTTTTGTTTGTTTGTTTCACAATAGCCAGACATTTCCAAAGAGGCTTGGGCTGCAAGGCAACGTGCTAAACAAAAATACTGGGAGATTGCTTAATGGAAGGCCAAAGAGGGCTGACATGTATATTTCCTTTAAAAATAAATACATATAAATGACTTTAAACAGTCATGTGCATTTCAACTTGATGTTGAAAGACAGTGGCCTCAGCAGGTAGGAGCTGTTGCCCTCTACTGGATGGAATGTCACAAAGATGTGCTTTCATACTTGCAGGTGCCTGGATGCTCTGTATTATTCCAAGGGTACAAGGACGGTGATGGTGGTGATGGTGGTGATAATGAGAATCAGGATGGAGAGGAGGCAGTGGGAGGAAGAGGATGGAGGAGAGAATGGTAACCCTGACAATGAGGGGGATCCCTTAGATTTATACAGCACTCCAGGGTCCTATGAAGCACACTCATAGAATTGACTTACTTGAGCCTCACCACGATCCGGTGAAGAAGGTGGTGTTGCAAACACGGTGGCTTTGGCAAAGAAGTCAAATCTGGTGCCCACAGACTCGGGACTCGTAAGGGGCAAAGCTCAGATTTGGTCTCTGGCTTTGTAAATCTAAGCTCTGGAATGGTTTCCCTTCACTCTACTTATTTGGTGGGTCTCGCTGATATTTACTTGAAACTAGCTATTTGAGGAGAGTCTCTTTTATGTGTTGAAGTTATGATTCATTCATAAATTCAGTCACAAACATTTATTATATACCCATTCTATGCCTAACCCTTGAGCTCTAAATTAAGACCAGCTAAGAACAAGGCACAAGTCCATTGCTTATGGGACTCTCAAGGAGCAGTCAGCAAACTAGGGAACAATTCAATAAAGGCCATGATGTCAGAGAGTGAGAAATATCGGGAAGCACCAAATCAGGGTGAAGTCACACAGTGGCCTCACAATGAGCATGGTTGGCACACTTTGGTAGCTAGAATCTTCAGGAAGGTGACTTATAATAAGACCAACCTTGGTCTTCCCCAAATCTAAGTCTGAAATTCTTGGTGACCTGAGACATTTGCCAAGACACCCCCTTTAAGAAACCTCTGGAGTATATAGGTAGAAAGCAATCCCCCTAGTTAACAAACATTAACAGAATTTTCCCAGTAACTCATGGAAAATGCATATTATGAAAACAAACTATGTATACTTATTTCTAAAATATCTGTATGGCTGTTAGGCATTCAGGGTTGGGAATCCTATTTTCTGCCAAAGGCCATTTGGATACTTATAACATCATTCATGGGCCATACAAAATACCAACGCAAAAATTAGCCTGCTATACATCCACTGAATTTCAAGTCAAACCTACAGTTAGTTCCCTTGGCACGGGCCTTATACAGTCCTTGGGCCAGAGGTTCCCCATGTATGAATCAGCTACATGACTTTAGCAGCTTTAATCTATAAAACCTCGAAACAATACAAAAATCCTTCAATAGGCACATGGTAATATAAAGTGTGGTGTATCCATATCATGGACTACTACTCAGCAACAAAAAGGAACAAACTACTGACACACCCAACAAATTGGGTGGGTATCAAGGGCATTCAGCTGGATAGGAAAAAAAAAAAACAATCTGCAAAGGTTATACACTGTCTCCCTCCACTGGTATAACATAATTGAAATGACAACAGTGAGGTGGAGGACTGATAAGTGGAGCCCGTGAACTGCAAAGAGGAAGAGGGTGTGCCTACACGGTGACACTGTCTTATGGGGATGAAACAGCTCTGATGTGGTATAAATCTATACATGTGATAAATATCATGGAATTACACCCAAAGCATTAAGAAAGGAATGCATGGAAAAACTGGCTTAACACCAATAATCTACTTGATGATTTTGAGCCAATCAATATCCTTGCTTCATAATGGAAGAGACCATGAGGAAAGTTAAGTGATGGGTATACTATTGTTATAACTAATTGTGGTCTATTTCAAAATTAAAAGAAAGAAGAAGAAAAGATGAAGATGAAGATGAAGATGAAGATGAAGATGAAGATGAAGGAAGAGGAGGAGGAGGTGGAGGGAGGGAGGCATGGGCTGCACGTTTGGAACCTCCAGGCTGACTCTCATTTCATCAGGCTGTTACTCTTACAGAGGCACCCTTACACAATACGCTTATGAAGCAGTCACTCTACAACTGAAAAAAAAAATAAAGAAGAAATCAGGGTCCACAATAAATACAAGTTTTCAGCTTGAACAGAAAGCTTTGCATGGAAAATTCCCTCCATCAGCACAAGACCTTCCAGCCTCATGCAGTAGAGAAGAGTGTGAGGACTGGGGATGCGTCCAGCTGGGGAAGATTCTTCACCCTTTGGCTTCTTCACTGCCCTCTGTGGTTTGCAGAGCCCACAGCAGTACCCGCAAAGTCCCCATTCACAGCATTCATGACTGATGCTGGCATTGGTGGGATCTACAGGAGCCATTAGTGGCTCATGTGGCAATGACTCCCAGAGCTGGAGTCACACCATAAAGAGCCTGGAGGAGGGTGGCGTTTGGCCTGCTGTTAAAGACATTGGGCCACATCCATGTCTGAGTGCCTGGATCCAAGACCTGGCTATGCTCCCAATTTTAGCTTCCTGTTAATGTGGACCCTTGGAGGCAGCAGGTGATGGCTCAAGTATTTGGGTCTCTGCCACCCATGTGAGAACTCCAGATTGAGTTCTGGGCTCCTGGCTTCTGGCTAGCCCAGCCATGGCCATTGCAGGAATTTGCAGAACAGCTGGGGGCTTTTCTGTCTGACTCTGTCTCTGTCTCTCTGCTTTTCAAAAAAATTATATAACAAG